ATGTATCTTGTTTCTTGCTGATGTGCAGCGTATGGAACGATTCCCTTACATTATTCATATTGGATTACTCCCGTAAAGTACATGACATGGAGATTGGCCATGATAAATCGGTGGCACGTGTGAAGAAGCGTGGAGTTTGTTTTAGATAATCAGGCAAATTAGAGCCATGATGCAGCAGCGGGAAACCCCTGCATGGAAGTCTATAAGCAGGTGAACAACTCCCTGTGGGATGAGCCTGGAGCCCACCATGACTGATGCCCGAACTGATCAGGGTTATTAAACGAAGGCAAAACCAAACAAGATATGTTGTGTTGGTTCACGGCATTTCCAGATGTTGCTGACTGTGGCAGCTTGAGTAGATTGGATAAGCCTCACTTTGTTTTATTCCATAATCATATAAATAAGGCCTTGAGAAGCATGTTCTTTGGAGGCCATGTTGATGAAACTGAGGTGTTTAATGGATTTTACATAATGAAGCTCTGAATCGTCAACTGCTGCTAGAGGCGAAGGGCCGCCACACTGTGACGCTTGTATTGATTAGTGATCAGAGTCCATAGAGAGCTTTAGAGAGACTGTGAGAGTGAAAGAAAGTAAATGATGCCCTGTTTGAAGGTAATTTAACAACAAATAAATCGGATGTGTCTTCAAAGCAAGATTTGCACGGTGGGATATAGAGTTACATGATAAAGGAAAATAAAAGTGAAATTGTGATATGGCTATAAGTGTGGTTATTAAATCGCAAAAGCTGTGATTTAGTTGAATAAATATATGCACTGCATGTTTCAGAGTGAAGAGCGGCACTGTGTTGATTTACAAAAAAAAAATTTGTGAATAAAATTTTTCTGCCCAAAACATGCAGCCATAGTGGGATACGAATTTATAATTCCATATTTTCAAGTATTTCATTTTTGCTGGGTTTTGACTTTTTGCTGGGTTTTGAAGGTCAGCTAATGTTAATGCTTAATCTGTAAACGAAGAATTTGCAAGCAAGAACTTTGGTGGCTTGAAATGTGGTTTCCAGAAAACTGATTAGCTAGAAAGCATAACAGACTTCTTCAGTTGACTCTGGTCAATGACTTTACAGATATGGTAATGTTATCAAAAAATATACTTGCTAGCTAACTAACTCCAACTCAGTGTTAATTTCGTTGACAAATAATTATCGTCATAATTTTCGTCAACGACATTTTTTTCACCGACGACAATGACACGATAACGAACTAAAACTCTTTTTGAATGACAAAAACTATGACGAAAATCTATTGACATTTTCGTCAACGAATAAAAACGAGACGAAAATGTTAGGGAAGAGATTCATCCAAAAAGAATCTGCTGAATAGTTAGGAGGTTAGATGCGTACATTTGGACCGACGGGACATAAGCTAAAATACACTTGCTGCACATCTCATAAAACGTTCAAAAATGTCAATATGTGGGAGTAAGAGAAGAGCAGACATATATATATAAATCTAATGATGCAAGAGAGAACTCAGTTCGGTCCGGTTTTCTGAGCGCAGACACACAGAAAACACGTCTCACAGCACGAGAGTACTCTTTCGCGTCGCATGAACGAAGAATTACACACAAAATGATGTTGATTGTCGAATTGTCCGTTTTGACGAGTATTCACGTAAACACAGTTGATTACGTCTTAAGTGAACGTAAACAGCAGGGAGAATGTGTACCACTACATTGCATCAATTGCAGCTGTGCATTCGGTTTTAAAGGGATAGCAGCCTAATTTAGTTGCTATTGTCCGAGTCATTGATGTTAATCAAGCAACAAAAGAAAGACAGAAAATCACGCACTGCTCTTGATTGAAAAACTTTAGTAGTCCTAAAGATTAATCTAAATTTATTTATAGAAATAAATATGTCTGCTTGAAAGAATTGCTGTCAAAATTAACACTGCTCCAACTGTGTACAGTCTAAATACGTGCTGGTTTTAATTGCTCTCAAGTAATGGAACAGAATGGTGATTGACTGATTTCCACCTAAACACTGATTTCATCTGGAAATGTTTCTGCACTTTTAAATTGATTTGGCATTAGTTTAGCTACTTCATATCTAGATCCGGCCAGCGCATTGACTGTCCATGTGAACTTTAGCCCTCAGCTGACATCATGCATTTCATTACAATGATTTAGATCAGCCAAGTGCCCAGTGCAAGACATGATTTACCACAGTCCAATAAAAGCTGATAGACTACCAGGCTCTGGGCCATTGTGTTAGAGGTCAGAGTGCACTCCATTAATGCAATAACTGGGAGGACCATGCTAGCTGTAGCTTTCGTGTCACATTCTACAATGCTTTGGCTTGATTCTACTTCGTAAAACTCATCCCAGAATGTTCTTGAAAAGGATGAAAGTTAGTTGTATGGTTTGAAATAACAGTTAGTAAATGATGAGTGAATCAGTATTATTTTAGTATCGTTGATGTACTATATATATATATATATATATATATACACACACACTTTTAATGGTGTTAGTTTTAGTCAACAATAATAACTCTGGACCCAATTTTCATTTGAGGGTGAACTGTGTCTTTAAATCATTTGATGCTGGAATGTGGCTCCAAATGGCACAATTTAAAGGACAAACCAATTACCAAACCAAACTCTTCAGCCTCCTTTTGAACAAACTGGCACGCAAAGTCAAAATCCATCTTTTTGTATCGAGGGACTTGAAAACTTAGTGGAACAATGGACAAATGCCAGCCAGCAGCAAAACAACAACTCGGAAGCTGCCAAAATGGGCGGAGCGTCTAAGGGAAACTTATAACTTGCGGGAACGAGGATTAGAAGAAAAGGGCAGGCAAACGAAGGGGAGATAGATAGTATGGAGAGAGCACCTGTTGTGAGACCGGAGAGAAAGAAAGAGGGGAGAAGGGAGGGAGTAAGGGATCTGTGTTCTCCGCTGGGAGCCGAAGGCCAAGGGAAAGTGATTTCGTCCTTGCAGTTTCAATCCCAGGCCCTGGCAAACTCTATCGGAAGCAATAGAAAGTAACAAATGAACGGGAAGTTTTGCAGTGGCCACACGCAAGAGTGGCAGAGTCCAAGTTTGTTGCTGAGGAAGACCTCAGTGCAGTTGTGCATTGGCACTTTTGCACATGAGGGGAATTTTTATTATAGAGGACTACAATAAGCAGCCTGCAGTCTGAGTAAGAGGTTACCACTTTAGGTTAAATGTTATTTATCAAGTAAAGCCTCTGCCACTGCGTCCTCCATGTTAAGTAGTCAAAACTCAATTAAAGATGAAGTGCGCAAAGAAATTTTGGATAATCAAAGGCATAATTTAGCTATTGGTTAACATTGCCAAATAGTCTATGCCACCTAAAATATATCAGAGGGGGAAAAAACATTGTTTCAGAAGAAAAGCAAATTATTGTATTTTAATTTAAGATTACCAAAACAAACTGAGTGAAATGGATTATCAAAAAAACAACAAAAAAAAGCAATTTGAGGCAGGCTCTTGGTTCAGTCCATTGGTTTTTGATTGGATGGAGGCAGATCTGAATGTGAGCTTGAAGTCGGTTTTAAAAAAAGGGACAGAGTTTAAGCGGACAAAAAGTAGTCCGACATACGCCACCAGAGAAGTCATATGCATGGTTGAATCATTCACAGTAAGATCACAGTAAAATTATTATAGAAGATATTCACAATACGAAAAACATTTATATACAGGTGCATCTCAATAAATTAGAATGTCATGGAAAAGTTCATTTATTTCAGTAATTCAACTCAAATAGTGAAACTCGTGTATTAAATAAATTCAGTGCACACAGACTGAAGTAGTTTAAGTCTTTGGTTCTTTTAATTGTGATGATGTTGGCTCACATTTAACAAAAACCCACCAATTCACTATCTCAACAAATTAGAATATGGTGACATGCCAATCAGCTAATAGATAGGGTAAATTTCATTTCATGGTTTCACAATAAGTTTGGGAATATGTGTTATATAAGTAAGTAAATTTTTTGATTTCATGTTGGCTTTTAACAGTTTCTCCTTTCTCTGTTTTTGGAAACAGCTGTATGCAAGTCATTTGTAGGTTTATTTGAAAAGTGTAAACGCTATGACTCGGAGTGACTGTTATCAAAACATTGCTGTTTGTTACTGTATTCCGACCAGCTTGACATAGCAACAGCGACTCAGCCAATCATGTGTGTTTGAGGGTGGAACTTTTGTTTTTGACCAACCGATGGAAGAACAGGGGAGTTTGGGTAACCTGTTTGAAAACAGTCATTGTTTGTTTCAATTACATTCAGTGAAATTACACATTTCAGCTTCAACTAACATTTTTTTTTTTTTTGGTAATTTATAGTTTATTTATACATTTAAAATGATTGTTATAATGACCAGTCATTATTCTGTTTGTTTCTGTATTCTGATCAGCCTGACATAGCAACAGCAGCTCAGCCAATCATGTGAGTTTGGGGGTGGAACTTTCATTTTTGACCAACTAATAGAAGAACAGGGGAACCAGTTTTAATTTTTTTTTTAGTAATTTATGGGTTATTTATGCTTTTAAAAGTACTGTTATAATGACCAGTTATTGCTTTGTTTCTTTGTGTATCCCGCCTGACAGAGCAACAATAGCTTGAGCCAATAGCTTGAGTTTGAGGAGGGGACCGTTGACCAATTATATTTGAGAAACCTGTTTGAAATTCCATTCAGTGAAATTACACACTTAAGCTTCAACTAGCCATTTGAAGTCATTTACAGGCTATTTATATTTTTAAAAAGACTGTTATGGTGACCTTATAAAATTATAAAGGTTATATTAGGTCCATCTTACACAAGAAACAAAAAAACACAAATCGTCAAGCCTTGTATGAAATTCCTTTAGAAGCAGACCACTATTACATTTGATTCACTTTTATTTCTCTTTGAAAACCTTCACTAGGAACCTTTAAATGGTTCTACACATGCATGTAGGAGGACAGATCTGTTTTATGAAAGAAACAGCATAGCAAAAGCTTTTCTGACCCTTAGAAGAAATTTGTGTCAGTGTCAAAAGATCATTCAGTATGAACCCACCACAGGCTGACATGGATAAAGCATCCGACATGTAGTGTGCTATCCAAAACTAAAGTTCAGCCTTTTTTTTATCATTTAAATTTTTATTTTAGGTTTACTTGAAGACAACAAGAATTCAAAATATACCCTATTCATTTTCATAAAGGGATAGTTCACCCTTTTGTCATTTCAGTTAAACCTTGAATGACAGTGAATACAAACTGAAACTTTCAAGCTTCAAAAGTGACTTTTTTTTTTTTTGCTTTACAAAACTTGACTTGTTACGAATCAAGAGTCCAGATTAATGAAACATTCTTAAGAATAACATTCTTAACTGCTAAACTGCCGTTTTCTTATTTTCAGTCAGGTCCACTTTGTCAAAGTATATTTATTACAGTTATATAGCATACAGTTAGTGTTGGCGGTATGGTTCTGTTCTGGGCAAAACTCCCCACGCCTGTCCAGCCAGCCATTTTATTCTTATGAAAACAAAAGGTTCTTAGGAAAATATTTGCTAACTTTTCAAGAATTGAACATTCTTACAAACTCTATCCTAAGAAATTTCATGAATCCGGCCCTAGGATATACAGAACTGCGACCGGCGGACGGTGCAAGTGGGTGGTCCTTACTTTAGTTTACTAGTTCCTGTTGCTTTTAATGAGCTCATTAATATTCACTGGAGCCATTTTCCCCCTCCTCTTTAGCGCCTAATTACCAGCTTTATTCAGCTTTGCACAGCTGTAGTTCATGTATTATTCAGTGTTAATTGCAACTTCGATAGTCATTAATAAAGACTTGTGTTCTTCCTTTGGAGGAGATGACGCACTCACTATGGAAGGCTGACTGTGTGTGTGTTGTGCCTCTGGTGCTGTGGATGATGATGATGATGGTGATTATTATTTTGGGTGAATGTGTATTGCAGCAGTGCTCAACAGCTGTGGCGAGAGGGCGGAGTGTGTGCGCGCATGTGTGTGCGTGTCCTCTATTTAAAACACTATTGAAATATTTGTTTGCACGCCTCAATGGCATTTAATCTCCTGTTGTTCATCAGTTTCCACTTGATTTATTTCTTCACCTTTGCTTATTTATTGAATTTAATTACACACAAAGCCGCGGATGGTGGCTGCTTGTTTGTGCGAGTTTACGCGAGCGACGTTTTTCCTTTTTACACCTCCCTCTCCTCACCCCACCTCCCCTCTCTCTCTCCCCCCAAAATCATTCATTCCAGGCTTGGTAAATTGATATAAAATTCCCAGTGGGTGGTGGCCAGGGTGCCAATGGTGCCAAATGACTCTGGGTCTATGGCAGCCGGTGCAGTTCGGATAAAATATCACCCTGATAATTGTGCGTTAATCGTCCAGTGCGTGCACCCATATAGATGAGGCACAGGGACGAGGAGTCTGTGGTTTTTAGGACAAGAAAATCTGTGGGTAGGAGCCATTGGTGAACCAGAACAAGGTCACGAGGTTCTTGAGTGATTTATAGATCATATGTATGCATTGGAGATGTGTCTGTGGGTGACTAATTTTAGGGCAAGCTGCCCGCAGGCGTTTATGGAAGTGTGTTAAGGTTTGTGCGTTAATATATGCATGTTAGGGTGCAAGCCTGTGTCTGGGATATAGCTGAAAGACTTGATATTTATATATTCAAAATATATATTGATATTTATGTGTTTGCACTAAAATGGCTTTAAATTGTGATTTTGTATTTTAGTTTTTAATCATTTTGACCAAACAACCATTGCTGTGTTGTCAAATAGATTTTCTTGAAATATGATTTTCTTGTAAGAATTGTTTCTGAATTGTTTTCATTTATTGCATATGCGCCAGTTTTAGTTTAGTATTAGTTATATACTGTTATATATATATATATATATATATATTGAATTAGCTTATATTTTTATATTTTCATTTTAATTTTTGTATTTTTAGGTGCTTTTGTCATTTTTATTATTTGTGTGTGTGTGTAGATATATAGATAGATAGATAGTTTTATTTTGGTTATGAAATCATAAATGATTTTTTATAGTTTTTTGTATGCCCATATGTCAAAATATAGTAACACATTTTTATGTTTACTTGTAAATTTTTATGTAAACATTTTAATGAAAAAGTAAAAGAATTTAATGAACATTTTGGAGTTATAATGCAAATGAATCACTGACTGAGTGATTTGATTTGAATTGATTTAAATTCAAATAGCTGACACTGATTCATTTGAACTGATTTATCAAATAATTGTCATATACAGTATACTATATGTTAGGAATGCAACAATATAACTGTACCAACTGTGTCAACATCAGAGAGGCCATTAAAACAACTCTGACTTTAAGCCCACTTGTCACAGTACATTTTGAAACTAATCTAATTAGATATTTAGTGCCTAAATGCATGATAAAATCATTGCAATATTCACAACGTTGCTTAATTTTACCTCAGCCATTCACCGTGAATATATCTTGAATATTTAATATACCGCCCAACCCTACTTGGGATATATGTTGTGTTTTGTGTGTGTGTGTGTGTGTGTGTGTTATTGAGTCAGAGAGGGAGTGACAGTGATGACCTCCTGCCAGAGGGGAAGTGCTCGGAGCCAGAATCCTGCTAGTATGTGTCAGCATCAGCACTGACCCTCGCTGTCCTTTCAGCTGATGAACTGAAGGCCGAGGATCTCCCGCAGATACGCACACATACATGACACAAGCGCGCACACACACACGCACACCTCGCTCCAGGGTGAGTCAGTAGTAGGACTATGAGTCACGTATACTGGTCTATGAATCACGGCTTTCTCAGTAAAGCTCTGCTCCATAGGAAGCACTTTCACCCTTACGCGCTACTATCTACACTTGCTCTCCTGCAGTGACTTAAGTGGCAGCTTAGAGATAAGATTATGAACGCTGAACTAAATGTTTCATGAAATATGTCTGCATACTGTGTTATGACACATGCATCTATTAAATCCTATGCACATATTTATGTGGAGTAGGTTGTATTAATATATTCGCAAAAATATTGTAATGACAAAATATTTTTTTGTATATTTGGGATGCACAATATAACTATGTATAAACATTTATATGTTTATACATTTTATCGGCATTGGGCAATATTTAATTGTGCATGCTCATTTCCCCAATTTTTACATTTAGATTGCCTTATGCTCACTTAAATTTATTATTATTTTAAAATCAATAATTAAATATATATAATAATTAAATGTAATCTGTTAAATGTAATGTTTAGCAAATCACTGTATATACATATATATTGTAGCACTCCACTACGGGAAAAGAGGAGAACCGACACGAAATGCAGTGAAGCGCCACCCTGAAAGGTGTCTTTATTCAAGCAGTGCAAATTTTAGGTGCAATCAAACTCAGTCTCTGTGTCTCGTGCAGGTGAAGAATTATGGGGTGAGTAGAGCAGTTCCTCCTGGCTCAGCAGAGAGAGAGAGAGGGGGGGGGAGTTAGCCAAATAGGTGGAGGCTCCACCCTCGCTTGAAGCAGTCAGTCGCTTTCTAGATAAAGAAAAGACACAGAGGTTAGCCATGCACCCACTGAGAGTCCATACTGCTCCCCTTTCCTCTTCCTTGCTGGCGTTTATATTTCCCTCTAAGTGATTGCCTCATTGTCGTCAGCTGGGATCGCCAGGTGTCCTCCATAATTAGCGTTGCCAGGGGTGACGAGTGGGGAGCAAGCACTATCTCGTCACAATACCTATAAACATATAGGTGAGTTTGGCCGTTCCGGAACCCACCGCTTTAACAGGTTAATATGATATATTCGTTCACCTTTTCGTCTCCCAGGTTGGCGAAGCCTGTAATTTACAGGTCCGACTCTTTCAACGACGGTGTATGGGCCCTGCCAGGAGGCAAGGAATTTACAGGCGACATTGGGTACTAAGACCAAGACTTGGTCGCCAGGGAGGAACTCCCGGGGCTGCGCTGGCCGATCGTAGAGTCGCTGCTGGATGCGTTGGGATTCAAATAGGTGCTCTCTAACCAGAGGCATTACCCGTTCAATTCTTTCTTTCATCTCTTTGACATGCTCAACCACAGTACGATGTGGGGAGGGTTGTTGTTCCCAGGCCTCCTTGGCAATGTCCAGCAACCCGCGGGGTTGTCGTCCAAACAGCAGTTCAAATGGGGTAAAGCCGGTGGAAGCTTGGGGCACTTCTCGTATCCCAAAGAGCACATAGGGGATCATTCTGTCCCAATCACGTCCATCCTCAGTCACTACCCGTTTTAACATTTGCTTGAGGGTTTTATTAAAGCGTTCGACCAGGCCATCCGTCTGGGGGTGGTACACTGAGGCGTGGAGATGTTTAACTCGCAGCAACTTACACAGGTCGGCCATGATCCAGGAAACGAAGGGGGTGCCCTGATCTGTAAGAATTTTAGAAGGAATCCCCACCCGGCTGCAAAGGGCAAGCAATTCCTGGGCAATGGTTGCGGCAGTGGCTCGTCGAAGTGGAATGGCCTCAGGATAGCGGGTGGCATAATCCACCAGGACCAGAATGTATTCGTGGCCCCGTGCAGACTTCGGCAGGGGCCCCACGATGTCCATCCCAATGCGTGAGAATGGCACCTCTATTACCGGTAGTGGAATCAGGGGGGCAGGGGCAGGTTTCTGGGGTGCAGTACGTTGGCATATTGCACAGGCTTGGCAGAACCGCCGCACTTCAGAATTCATCCCAGGCCAGTGGAAGCGATCTCTTATCTGCTGCAATGTGTTCTCTGCTGCCAGGTGTCCGGCAAGTGGATGGGTGTGTGCCAGTGGAGGATCATCTCCGTTTTGCTCCTGGGGAGTACCAGCAGTTCCTTTAGTTTCTCCCGCCTTTCTGCTACACAGTACAACAAGTCATTTTTTTACAATGAAGTGAGGAGTGGAGTGTGGGGGTGGCTGGTGTTCACTGCCATTGACCACTCTGACCTGTGACCAGCAGTGTTTCAAGCGATCATCCTCTCGTTGTTCTCTTCCCAAGGTCCCACTCTGTGAAACTTGCTGGAAAAGATCAGAGAAGACTTCAAGGTTAGGTTGAGAACACTCACCCGCTCTCTCACTCTCTGATGCGAGGTACACCTGGCGAGCTCTCGGGTTCTGAGGGCGGCGGCCCCCCTTCCGGCGTACCGGGGTGTCAGGTTGTCGTAGAAGTTGCTCTAATCCTGGCCAATCCTGTCCCAGCAGGGCGGGTATCGGCAGGTCCTTCAAAACCCCAACCTCGACCATCCAGGTTCCTGGGGAGGCAGAAATGGAAACTGTTTGGGCCAGCACATACCTTGTGTCACCATGAACACAGGTGATTGGGAGAAGGGCCCGGCCAGGCTTTGCGGTCCCAAGAAGCTGGGGTTGGAGGTTTGAAATGAGCTCGCGGGCTCCCGTTTCCTCGCGTGTAAATCTGTTTTCCTCTCGCGGAAGTGATTTACGCGCGCGCCAGCATCAGTGGTGCGCTCGGTTATTAATGGCATAGTATTGCCGCCATAGCATGGGCTCATCCTGGCCTGGCGCTCGCGCAGGGCTCCCCAGGCTCACCGACTTGTGGGCCCCACTCACCCCTCGCCGCTCCCCGGTACCCCTCCGGAGAAATGAAGTAGCTCTCTCTCCCGATTCCCTTGCCACCGCAGCTTCAGACAGCTCCACTGCCTCCACCAGCTCTGCTAGCGTTTGTGGATTTTGTAATCCAGCAGTACGTCGGTGTGGGCGAGGTAGGGAGCGTAGCAGTCTATCGACCGTGACCTTTTCGACATAAAATAAAATAAAAATTCCAATAATAACTTAATTACTGGTTGGTGATGATTATGTGGCACAATATCAGCAGCCTGGCAACTTGGGAAAGAAGATTTGGGCTGCCATCCAACCAGCTCATATCTGTCACATGTATGGTCTTTGTGTTTTTGGTTTTGTCTTTAGTGCCTTGTTGTTTGACCCAGTTTTCTAGTGTGCGTGTGATTAATGTATTTAGTTCACCTGTTGTCTATTAATTAGCCTATTAGTTCTCATTTGGTTTAGTACTTATATTCCCATGTTTTCTGAGTTTGGTGTCCTGTCTTAACGTTGTGTTTGGAAGTGTTGTTAGCCTGTTTCTCTGTATTTCCTCGCGTTATTTGGATTAAAGATTATTTTCCTTGTTATTCCATCTTGGGGAGTACACTGTTTAGCACATTCCGTTACAATAGCGTAATACATATACACTATTTACATGTAGATATATAATTTCCTATCAAATTTTGGAGAAAGCCATGTTTGCCATGTAATCTGAAAGCAATCACCCTACCTGCCATTGTTACTAGAATCAAATGTGCCTGCAAATTCTTAATGTTCTTAACCATTAGTAAATGAGATTCATAGTGCAATCAAATATGGCGTGTCAGCTTGTATAGTCGAAGTCACTTAACAATAAAAGGGCACGTCAAAAGGGGCACACACACACACACACACACACACCGAGCAGCAGCAGAAGAAACATTGGCACACATTGTTGGAACGAGTTTGACGAAGCAAATAACTCCAATTCAGGGGCTTTCATGCCTGTCCGCCATTCTGCTATCTGAGGCTCCCGGGCTGTGCAGAGAAATCTCTCGATCTCTTTCCTAGGCTCGGAGACTCGCAGCGTGCCGATGGCATATCTCCAACACACCCTGATGTGACGAGCCGGTTGGATGGCAGTCTGACGGATTGAGGGCCACATACTGAGAGCCCAATCCTCGCCCCTCCCCTGCCCACCCCGCTGATATTGTGCCACATCGTCAACACCAACCAAAGCAGGAAACTTCCTGAAAAGCCTGTTGGAATGGATAAACTGGCGTTTTTTGTGAGAGATAATGACCAAGGCCATTTAGAATCCCGACTGGACTTTTTTTTACGACTTCTCGGGGCAATGAGTTTGATCTTATGGGGTCTTTGCTCATTGCCCTTCATCGACTTCACATGAGGTAAACAAAGTGGGTGTTACTTTTAGAAGATCTTTTTTTCAGAAGACCACATCTGCACATGTGCACAATAGCCATGTATGACTGGCGGAGTCCTGCGGTTTATAAGTTCCATACAGCGCTATTAGATTGCTCAGCGGGTGCTGATTTACACTCCCTGTCATGGGAGGAGGCTTTATTTATTTTTTCGTAGTGCCGTCTTTTTCTGGGAATAACCAGGGCCACTTCTGGAAAACGGCATTAAAACAAAAGACTGTATGAAGGGATGAGGAAGAGGAAGAGGAGAGGGAATAAAGGGAGAGAGCAGGGTCTTGAATCTCATTTGATTTACACTCTAAGGGAAGCCAAGGGGGAATTAGGAAATTAGCTGTGGAGAAACCCCCCACCAGTGGCACAGGGAGACTGACTTAAGGGCTTGTGTGTTTTTTTTTTTTTTTAAATGTTAGTCTGATGGAGCCTTTCCACTGTGCTGAGATTAACTTTCCCTGTCCTTGCTCTTTGGATAATGAAGTGCTAATACTAGCAAGTATGCTGCAGCACATTCTGTCTTCTCCAAAAGTGTGAATACTAAAATGCTGTGTAGTTAGCACTAGCTTCCCACCAAAATATTTCGGACAAACTGTTCTACCTTGGAATGCCATAGTTTCCTTTGTGGCCTTGATGGAAAATGCAGCTTAAACCAGCCTAAACTGGTTTGCTGGTCTCCCAGCCTAGTCCAACTAGTGTGTTTTGGCTAGTTTTCAAGGAGTTATGAACAACTGGAGACTAGCTAAACCAGATACCAGCCTGACCAGTTTAAACTTGCTTAGACCAGCTAACTATTTTAGCATTTTGCCACCATTTGTTGCCATAAAAAAATTTAATAAATGTCCACCAATTTTCTCTCTTTTATTTTTTATTTTTATTTGTTATAAATCTGGGTGAGGTATATAGTGAATAGGACTAATCCATAAACGCTAAAATACTGTAATGTAAAAATACAATAATGTTTTAATAGTATTCAAAATTCAAAAATCATATGCATGTTAACATGATTTTAATGTGAAAAAATTATTACTAACCTTTTTATGTAAAGTTATGTCCAATTTTACATCTTTGTTGCCATGACAACACACTGCCACTAACCTTAAAATGACTGCATGAATTTAAACAGTTGTTCAGCTCAAATAATACACTACTTTTAACAGAAGAATCAAAGTGCTTTTCTAAAATGACATGCTTCAGATTTCTGCTTTTGAACCCTGCAAAAAATTGGCCCCATTCATGTCGATTATAAGTGCCTGACTTTAACTTCCATTTTTGCTTTTTATTTTATTATTTTAGTTTTTTTAAGAAAATTAGTCAATTTTGTGTGTGTTTGTAGTAAGCATCAATATGCCACAAATGCTATCGATTGAGCATAACTTGTATTGAACCCAGAATATTGCTTTAAATTATTATTATTATTATTATTATTTTAAGCAGCCAGGTGTGAAAATGTGCAGGGAAGCTTTTGTACAGCTAAAAAAGGAAATCAATGCAGGAAGTAAAACCTTCCTTTTTCTCTCACTGGTTTTATTGCCAAGGACTCAGCTGGCCTAGTCTAAGTTTCATGGCAATGCTGAACGTGATTAATTCATGCAGTTGTTACACTACTCTGGTCACCACTCAGAAGAAGAGAACAGAAGTTTGCTTGTCCCATTAACTATGCTAGAAATATGTAGCATTAAAGCCGCTATGTTTCAGAATCTTTTCATTAAGTCTTCACATAGTAACACAATCAAGTAGAAGAGTCTGAACCAGAGAAGGTGTCATCATCGTATTTTCAGGAGCAAGCAGTAACCTTTTTTCCCCATGTACCTTAATTCAGTTTCCCACCTCATTTGTTGTTAACACAAGCTCCTGAGCTTGACTGCTTCCACGGCTCATGTATTCCATCTCATGCTTGGCCCCCTGCATTGCCACTACCAGTTTGCCATCAGAGAGCAAACGACCCGACCCCAGAGTGTCGAAAAGATGTGCCAGCATTACTCTCTATTACTGCCTGTGATCTTTTATGCATTTGTAGATAAATAACCAGGTCCCATATTTGTTCTGACCTTTTTGTTCTCGTGCAGATGTACATGAGGTGTCTAATAGGACTGTTAAGGTCCAATTGCATTGTGAATCTTCTGTGCTAACAAATGTCAGATGCATCGATCGACAGCAACACGCCAAAATAACATGGAAGCAGTTGCTGGAATCCCTGTGCTCTGGTAAAAATGAGGGAGATCTAGTGCGTGTGTGTGTGTGTGTGTGTGTGAGCACATTTGTTAAGGAGCAATTGAAAACCCTACTCATTAACTCCGTTCCAAGTTTTCATGGATTAATCAATGCTAACTTACTTTATCAGAGCCACTTATCTTCCCAATACAGGAATCCAAGCTTGTCCCTGACCAGCAACTTGATAACAGGAAATATTTCACATTGCCAGTGTGCCGAGCCACCTCAACCTCCATTTCTCCTCCTTACCTCTGACTCCCTCTTACTCGCCCTTTCTTAAACGTGTTTGGGAGCAGTGCATGTGCACATGTACAGGTAGGTATTGAGGGTGAATCCAGATCACATATTAGTTCATTTCGCACATTTCCCTTCTGTAATTTGTAAACGTACCACATTAAGATAGGCGCTTAATGGAGCTTAGATAAGCTGCCCTATTCTGCAGGATTCAAGCGAACCAGATGCACTCCAATGCATGGAAGTTATCAAGGCATGGGTTTAAAGTCTGTCCCCGGCACAGAGGGTCATTTCTAGCTTGACTGACAGACTGAATCCCCTCTTCCGCTCATCGTCTGGGTGAATGCTACTGTTTGATCTTGCTTCTCCAGATCGACCACTGGAGAGCAGGCGATTTGCTCTCTCGCTTTCGCTCTTATGCCTCAGGTACTGCCTCAGATGTGTCGGCCTAGTCTGATGAACTATTTTTGTATGCGTTTATTTATGTATTTATTAGATGCGGTTGCTCAGCAGTCATACCGCCCAGTCTACCTTCGGGAAAGGTTGCGCTACAGACTGACAGCCAACTTGACAAGTTATTTGATTTTGGCAGGGTCGTAATAACGTAGCAGTTTGAGTTGTTAACAACCCAGACCTCTTTCCCCTCCCTCCTTCCCCGCTGCCCTCTTTGTTGTCTAAAGTAATAACTGGGTCATTATGGGATGTAAGAAATATCTACTTAGAGATTATGCTTGAAATAAAAGGCGTGAAAGGTGATGGGAAATGGACCCTTGCAGCATCTGTAATTAGCTAAGGGGATTGTGGACAATGCTCCCCCAGAGATTCTTCTGCGTACTACCCCCACTCAACTTGACGGCTGCCACAGTGGTGTTCAGAGCCACATTGAGTGTGTAATTAATATATTTACTCTATGTACCGCTGGCCTGCTCGGCTCTTCTTCAGTTAGAGGGCATTTACGACTGGGAGCAAACAGGGGCACAAGGTTACAGATGCTCCAGTTTTCCTGGCCCTCGCTCTCTCCACCGCTTCCTCTTTCCTCTTGCTTACGTGATGTGTGTCACAACAGCTACACAATTAGAGTTGGTCTTTTTGATAGCCAAATAGAGTAAACTTATTTTGGTTTGTGCTGATTGCATCTTGTAATGCGTAGATCGTCCTGTAGAGTTTCTCTCTCGCTCCTTTCATCTTTATGGCGTCGTTTTGAAATCGTGATGGAGAATGTTAAAAGTGCTGA